CCTGTGCTCAATTCCTTTCTTGATAAACAAACCCTCGATAATTACTTGTTTACCTGCTTACGCTCTGTTCTCAATTCGAGTGTCACCATTCCATTAGCCCGTTGCTTCGTAAGCGAAAATAATAAAAATTACAATTTGAACCCGAATTTGTAAAAATAAAATCCCAGCAGAAATAATCTTACTAGGTGTTTTAGTTGATATTACAACTTTAATTGTAATAATTAAGAAACATGAAATAATTTTTTAAGAAACGTCAAAATTGCGAAAATTGTAATTTTTGTGTTTTCATAAAAATTTAGGTTTCTTTGTGAACTAATGATTAAACAGCCACTATCGTTGTATAGCTTATTTTGGAAATAACTTACTAGTAACTAGTAAAGATCCTACGCAATTTTCGTCTACTATTGGTCCTAAAAGAAATATAAAAAAGCGAGATGGATAATTTACTTCACTAATAACTTTTGTTGGTAATTTAAAAAATTTTGGTTGAAATTACAGAATGTGTACTCCGCAGTTACTTTCGTTTTGTGGTAAATATTTTCATAAAGAATGCCCTTACCAGACAATATCAAAATTCGTTTCTTTCTGCCAATTTCACTGAACCAACTATTCGATATCAAATATTTTACTACAGTCAGTTTTACAACACTAAACTTTTATGTTTTGTTATAGTCTTACATAAATTCTAAAAAACATGTAAGTTACAAAGTGCGGAGTAAATTTAGTTGTAGGTACTACACATACAGCAAAATTAGTATCAGTTATTTAATTGAATAATAAAGGCAAACAAAAAACGTAAAAATGAAGTGTCCAAAATTAAATGTCTATCAAATTGTGACGTAATTTACATTGGACAGACAGGGCGGAACCTCGATAAACGAATTAAAAAAAAAAAGCGATTACTTAACGCAAATTGCGCTCATTTTTGCAAGTAATATTCCATTATAACCGTTGTACCTGTGGCAAGAACTCATGATGTACCACGCCCCTGCAATCGAAGAAAATTGTAAGCAAAACCTTCACATTCGACCTAATTTGGCGCCCTTTTTTCGGGCATGGCTCGTGCTGCAGCTTCCATTGGAATGATTGAGCTCTGGAGCAAATTTGGGTCGTCGCGGACAGAATCCACCGCTCCTTAGTAATGTTAATGCGACGCTGGTTTTGGTCGAAATTGACCAATTTTGATACGAATTTCGCGGCAACCCGTCTCATGCCCAAATCATTGGTAGAAATTTAATGGCAGAAGCCAGTCGATATGTTTAGGTCCTCCGCAACTTCTCTAACGGTGATTCGACGATTGGCCAATACTATTTTCTTCACTTCATCATTGTTTTTATCTGATGTTGACGTGCTTTTGCGTCCGGCACGCTCTCGGCTCTCTGTGAACATTTTGTACCACCAATAAACGTTGCATCGATCCAAGGTAGCTTCATCATATACCAAAATCCACCTAACTAATTTTGTTTTTCACACAAAATCCATTTAATCCATTTTTTGGCATATGCAAAAATCGAAGACGAGCCAAAACATGAGCCAGCAAAGCAACTCTCAAAAATTAACTGAACAATCAACATGACCGAACGTGTCGGTATAATTGAGTGACATAAGTACCTACCAACATAACGCCACAAAAAAAATCGAAAATCGAATATACGTAGCCCGCGGAAATTCAAAATTAACGATACTTTTTGAACATACCTCGTATATTAATGCATTCCCGCTTATTAAATACTTAATATAAAATAAAANGGACTCACTGATTATTTCGACTAATAGAGGGTTGAGATTTCGAGTAATGGAGGTTTAGGCACATGAAGGAAAGGGGACAAAACATTTTTTCGAGTTTTGGAGGTTTTCGACTTATCGAGGTTCGACTTAAAGAAGTTCTACTGTATTTAATTTAAATGCAAAAAGGTCGAATGTCGACCACATGCCAAAATTAAAGTAAATATTTACCACAATATCGCCAGGGAATGTCCGGCATAGCTACAAAAGCACTTAAAATATAATATAATGTCCATGCTATAATGACGCAATAATAAATATCTAGGAAGAACACAATTGTCATGGCGGCAAATCCTACACCCTTAAATAAAGGGGCCAGTTGTCCAACAAAAGTCAAACCACCAGAACCTAAGTATTGTCCTACAGCAATTTCTTGAAAGAATAACGGAATTCCGCATGTGATCATAGCAACTCCATACGTGACCAAAAAAGCCCCTGAAATAAAATACACCATTCACACTTTGATACTAAAATTGGTAACAGTTTATCGATTCACATTATTTTCTCGTTAAATTTACAATTCAATACGCACACCTAGTTACACAGGAAGCTGTAATGATGACCAAAAATTGGTGTTGGTCTTAGTCTTGCAGACCAAGACTAAAACTAATATTGAATATGCAATATCAAGACCAAATACGCAAGATTAAACGAAAAAGTATTACTTCCGATGCTTAGAAGCAGAAACAGGAGCTAAAAGTAGTAGAGGAGGTAGACCTAGATTAGATTACTGTTCACAAATAGTTAAGGATGTGGGATGTTCTAGTTTTGTGGAAATGCGAAGATTAGCTCATGATAGAAAAGAGTAGAAGTGCGTGTCCAAGCAGTCTTATGCTTATTATGATGAGGAGGCCGTATATCTAAGCTGAAAGTTGTATGGTCGTGAATATGCATCAGTGTACAGTATTGGGAGTAATTATACGTACAACACTACCTGTATAGCCCTCTGTAGTAGCTACCTTAGTGTAGCATTTATCTTGCTGACGAAATATTTGCTTTGAAATGTAGTGAGTACTTATGTGTATGTAAAACCAAGTAGGTCCAAGCAAATACTTTTTCTCAACGTATTAGCATCTACTTCATTTTATGTATACTACCCACCACGAAAGATGTATGCCATATGTCGTTGAATAACTGATTCATACGCAATCTTTCAATAATATTACTATATGTATTTTTCGACTGCGAATGTTATTAAATCATTCTCAAGAAAAAAAAATCTGTAATGATTAACGTCTACTTTTATGTGAGTATGAATCTACCTTTCCACTTTGATGTAAACCGTTTCTTATAACAATATAGATAAAAGTCCATCCAAAAATTAGGCAAACTAGTAGCTTCCACTGTATACCTCCAACATCCTCAATTCCTCCCGTTATACCAAGTACATTACGGCTGTAAATCGAAAGTAGCATCTTAATTAGTGGTAAACTAATTTGGTACGTTGGGTACTTACTCAAAAAATTCTTCCACCGGAGTTTTTGTGTTATTTGCTATATTAGTTGCAGAACTTTCAATAGAGGAGCAGTTTATAGTATTCCAAGTATTACCTAAAATTGATTTATATGCACATATATCAATGGCATTTCTCAGTCACAATTCATGTTCAATCGATGTATTTTTAACACTAAATTAAATTAAAATTTGGGAGGTCCTTGTTTTGTTATTAATTACCAATGTGAAAATTCATTTTAATTTTTTTCTCGCGATAAACTACGTCAGGTTAATGAGGGAAAATTGTTGCTATTGTCACGTCCTCGCCTGGAATCGAACTCGAACCGAACACTAAGCTTACTGGTCATAGCATTGGTGCGTAAAAGCAAAAGTCCCAGGTTCGATTCCCGGCGGGGGTGTGACGACAGCAACAATTTTCCTTCATTATCCTGAGGTAGTTTATAGTAGGAAAAAGTTAAAATGAATTTTCACATTGGTATTTAATATTAACCCCTATTAAATGTCAAAATATTTCATTGTTATTAATTATTTAAAATTTCTGATTATTATTGATGTAATTAATGTCAGGATATTGTTACATCAATTTGGCTATTAAAATAGTAATTACTATTATGCACCCAATTGTGAACTTTCAATGCCTGTATTTTGAGAATTAATTGAACATGAAGATAAACCAAACACAAAGGGTTTATACAATCCATGTACTAGAATTGCCTTGGTCTAATTAATTTACATAATATGTAGTAGAATAAGATTAACATTGTGATTTGAATCCGGACTGCCCTGGACAGTCCGAAGGATCACAAATTTGCATTTAGTATTAAAGATCAACCCTTCTGAACCGCTATTGTTACTTCGAAAGTTTCGATACGATTTTTCGATATTAATTATAATAGGATGAGAATAAATCATATATGCGAGGGGTGTACCCTTAAAAAGATGCATAAAAAAGTCACTAAACGTCCTGAAGTGGAATGGATTTATTATACTATTGGGAAAGAAGAACCTAAATAACTTTTTTTGTCCGAATGACAGGTAATTTGTCATAACTTAAATACTTGTAAAGTTAAAAAAAGTCGCTTTGAGATTAATTAAATATATTAACTGATCAAAAATATATCAGTTTTATATTTTAGCTTCTTTTTGGGTAGTAAGGTTTGAAAACGTTAAAAAGTGGACTATTTCAAAAATTCACATCACAGCTTGTACTAAACCTTTCTTGATTTATCAAGTATCAAAATGGTCGCTATTGCCTATACTTTAACCTAATATGATTTGTGATAAGGCAACTCTTCATTTTCACCTTGAAATTTTATATCCAAATTTCAGAAGAAGAAATACCGATATTTACGATTCAATTAATAATTTCAAAATGAAAATGAAGAGTA